CACAAAAATCTAGGGTTAATTCCGTTTGACCTTAAGACTAGGTCACAGGACTTTATCAACCAGGTTAGGGTTGAGCTAGGTTAACCCCAAGTCCACGAGATTTTCTATTCTGGAAAGACTGAGTCATAATCCTGAAAAAACTCAGAATTACCCAAACTGCATAACTGTTAGTTCAGAGCAGGATGTCTTAACATTTGTTATGACATCTGAATTCCTGTCTACTAATTTTGGTAAATGTGATCTTTTTGCAAAATGCTCAGATACACACTCATAAACAGCAGCACCTGTATGACAATATTTTTCTGCAAAGGTACCTAATACATCAGTACCTAATAAACTAGAATGTTATGACATCAGTCATGACATTCACACACCTGGTTTTACCAAAAATGCATGCCAACAACTAAACAACTACATATTGAAAAGGTCAGGTATTCAAATAGTGTGTTTGAGTTTGAGGAACACTTGCAATATTTCGAGGTAATATGTTGATATCCCTTCATTTGTTTAGTATATGCACCAAACATGGTTGATACTTGTTTACTGGTATTTTTAGTAAACAATCACGAGTTTTTAGTTCACTTGTAGGATCAAAATCAGAAATCCTAGACAATACTTTGTGTAAAAATGTTGAGATAATATAATAGTGAACAATTTCTAATGCAGACACTTAATAAAACAAAGGAAATGTGCTTGATTTAACAAAAGCAAGTAAAAAGCAAACAATCAAAACAATCAAAATGCTTAAATTAAAAATGGAACACAAATTCATACATTTATCACAAAACTTGTAATCTCACTGAATTGGACGTATGAGTTCTAAAGTAGAAAAAATGAAATGCGAACCTTGATTACAAAATCGAAATCTACTTTTATAATAGGTACATCGTTAACTGTCAACAACAATTATCTCTTCAAAATCTGGCATGTATACTACTACTACTACATGGGCTTTCGTATTATGTTTTATCCACACGTGTCTTTGACTCTTGAAGTGCTTCAAACCGCCACTACTACCGAAAATGTCTTTTAGTCCTCCACTCACACCTGTCGAAAAATATCAATCTGTCGAGTTTATGATTTAATATAAAAAATATGGCTTGGTTACCTACACCTAGCATTTCTATACATCTTATATCCCATATTTATGTCGAAATGTCTAGCAAAATATCCCAGGCTAACAGATGCCCCTCAAAAATGTCATTTTCTGATCATATTTGTAATATGGAAAAAAGATGATGTTTTTAGTTTAACTCTCAACACTATTCAAACCATCTTGTGTATTTCATTGTCCTCATGACTGCTTTCATTCAACCGTCACGTCTATGACGTGCAAGTAATGTCATCATGGCTCCAGTTTCTAAGGCCATCGGCCACTAAAATTGTGGTACATACGTAAGCAGAAACTTTTTACTAGTTAATATTTGGATTTTGTATAGAAAAATATTTACTTTTTATATAATTAGGAGTAAAAATTAGATTTTTTTTAAGTAAGCACATTTAAAAAAAAAACTCAAATAACCATATTTTCAAAATAATTTCCATAATAACCACTTTTTAAAAAAACTCATACCACAGGGGATGCGCCATTTCCAGTGGCATATGCACTCTAAATAACATGGAGGCGCCACTACCTGCGGCGCATGCATGTGTGTCATCCTACAGGCAGTGGCGCATGCACTGTAAAATATGAAGCATGCACCCCAATTCATGGCTACTGTATTATTTTTCTTTTTTATTTAATTTTTAAAATATTTAAAAGTAAATAAAAATAGAAATTTTACATTAAATAGTAAAGAAAAAAAGTAAACAACGATTGTAGATTATTTTATTAACCTCCTCGACCCAAACGCCCAATGGTTCCACATTTTCGCTTCCATATTTGCCTCTGAGGCTTCACTTGAATTTCTTGGGGGTGTTTTAGGTCTCATAGTATTCTCCTGAGTCAGAGGTGCTTAGAGCGATGGTCCTGGGATAATATTCGGGTCATACAACTAGTCAACCATTTCTCCCTAGTTTACGGTTCTAACAAAGAGTTTGGTGCCCATGTTATCATAGTTGGATCGTGTTGGTCAGGTTACGTGTTGGCGGAGTGGTTGGTTTAATTGAGACATTGAATCATTTTGGAAACAAAGTAATGGTTCTTATGGCGTTTGAAAGACATGTGTTGTTGGGTTCTTTGGCGGTGTGATGTTTGGTTGTACATTAGTTGGGTGCTATGGTAGGATGTGGTGTTATTATATGTGTCATCAGTGTTGTGGTAATATGTGATGGTAGCTTATGGTTGGTGGCGATATGGGTCATTCTCTTGGTTTTGTGTTTGGGTGTGTGGCATGAATTGGTCGTGAGTTTGGATGGATGTGGTGGTGTAAGGTTGTTGGGTTTGGGTGAGTTGACAATGTTGTTGGGTTTAATATTATTGTGGGATTGGTTGTTGGGAGTATGATGACAAAGCTCATTGGTATGGGTCGATCAAATATGTCGGAGGACACAGAAACAAATTTGTTAAAACCGATGTATACTAATTCAAATAATTTCGAGTTGGTCTAACATCCTCCTGCATGATTGGTTCATTTATGAATAATTGATGCCAGTGCCTCCATTGACGAAATGCGTCCCTAGCAAAGTCTTTCAAATCTCTATAGCCCCATTGGTCATATACTCTTAATTGATGCCATTCTCCTAAACACGTCAGGGGATATGGGATTTATTGCTGCATGCCGAACTGCAATTTCACATGGTCACTCTGGTGCATCTCTATAGTAGTGAATCTGATATTACTATTTTTGTAGTCCAAACTGCAACATCATTGGGGTTAACCTCATGGCCGAGACCCAGATACGGCCTCCAGAAAAACTATAGAGGAAAAATACATTACTCTCATGGTGATATTAAACTAAAGTAACAAAATGTTTAGTTGTAATACCTCGTTGGTTCCAATATGATCCAAAAGATTTCAATAGACTACTGGAAACAAATCTTATGGAATTAATTAACTCTATATTAAAAGATATCAGAAACCTATCGATAACCGCATTGGTGGGAGCAACCTATTTTAGGTTGAGATCACTGTTCGAGTCTAGGGGTTCAAAATGGAGGTAAATGTTACAATTGTAATTGTTTAGTGAAAGCTCTATGAAATTTATTCAAGAGGAAACTTCCAAAGCTAACACACATGGTGTTACAATGTTTGACCATATTATAGGTTGGTTTAGTGTACAAGAGACAACGGATCATAATGAGAGGAGACCAATGGAATACTATCAGGTCGAACTAGATAGAGGTTGGTGCGATTGCGGAAAGTTTCAAGTATTTCGTATGCCTTGCTCCCATGTCATAGCGGCATGCATGTTCACATGCTTGCCTTGGACCCTAGATGACATCTATCCTTCATTTATAAAGTAAAAAACAAATTAAATGTGTATATAAATAGCTTCTCGGTGGTAGCAAACAATGATTATTGGCCTACTTATCAAGGGGATATTGTTTAGCACAATGAACATATGCGAAGGAAGAAAAACGGTCGCCCTAACAGCATGCATATTCGATCTGAAATGAATACGACAAACAAAATGGTAAGATTATGCAGTACATGTCGTCAACCCGAACACAATCGAAAAAATTGTCTGAATATTGGGTCAAGCTCCGCAATATAATTTTTATATGACACTCTTGATACGTAATTTATTTTTTGTAACCATGAAATTTCTTTTTAAATTGAACTTTCATTTCATATTCAAGACAACATTTAGGTACAATAAAATAAAGACAACCACACACAAAATAACAAAACGGTAAACAAATAAAACAACTAAAACATCAACATATCTAGGAATTACAACCATTAAGACAATCTCAGATGATTCTTGCATCATCATACGGACATCGTTGACGGTTTTAATAGAATCCCAAAAACGAGTTTCTCCATTTTGGTTGAACATCGTAACAAGTCTATCAATTCTTCTAATATGTTCACTATTAGAAATGTCTCCCTCTAACCAACAGATCAAGCTCTTCGGGAAATTCTCGAAGGTCTCTGTGTTCTAAATTCGAATCTTCATCGAAGGCTTTGTTGGTGGAAAAAATGGAGCATTTCTTTTGATAATTGAAAACATTGAAATTGTCTTAAAAGACACATTTAAGAGTGAAATGAGAAGATGTGTTGTAAATGGTGGAGATGAATGATGTATTTATAGTAAAACGAAACAACTGAGTAGTCAGCATGTGTGGCGCATGCAACTAATGTTATAGTGCATATGTCATCCTTTATGGCATGACATGCATGCGTGCGTCATGCAGTGTGGCACCTCCATGTTACTTAGAATATATGCGCCACCGACAATGGCGCTTCCACTATGGTACATAATTTTTCTATTTTTCTTTAAGAAAATAGTTAATTTAAAAACTATTTTTAAAATGTGGTTATTTAAAATTTTTTCTAAATATTGAAATATTGAAATTTGAAAAGCATATTTGATTTATTGATTTTTTGGAATTGATAAAAATAATAGAGTTAATATCATTTTATCCCTGCCATATAAGTGATTTCTGGTTTAACACTCAGTAATTTTTTTTGTTGTAAAAATAATCTTGTCATTTAAAGATTTTGTCAATTTGTAGAACCAACCTTATTACTTAAAGATTCTGTCATTTTAAACTTGAAACTTTTATCATTTTAAATCCTTTAGAAGCTAGACAATCTTAAATAATAATATTAATGTTCCCCATTAAAGACATAAAATTCATTAAGGGCAAGTCAACTCAAGAACAACACATGAGTTTAAAACATTTTAAAAAACAAAAAACAAAAAACAAAGAAAAGTGTTTGTATCCGTTATGGTTCTTTTTTCTTTGTTTTTCCTCTTTTGGACTTTCTCTTTTAACAATCATTTCAAATTTCAAAACCTCTTTTCTCTTCTACAAGAACACCTTCAAACTTCATCAACAACATCTACATTCTCTTGTCGCCATTCAAAATCACAATCTCCCACTTTTCTCAAATGGGTGGTTCAGGAAGCTGGTTTAAATCACTCATTCCTCCCAGAAAGTTCTCCACAAATAATCAAGTTCGCAATTTTATTTTCTTTGAAGCATTTACACAAACAGAACACTGACACTTTTGGATATTAACTGGTGTTTATTTACTATCGTTTGTTTTTGCAGGTTAATGGAAGTGATAAGAGTAAGAGAAAATGGAAGTTATGGAGGAATTCTTCAGAAGTTGATGGATTTGGAAGTTCTATGAAGAAGGGAAATGGTTTTGTTGGTTATGATAAATATTCTTGTTCTTCTTTTGTGGTGAATGAAGAAGCTTTTGCTGCTGCAATGGCTGCTGTGCTAAGAACTCCACATAAAGATTTCTTGGTCATCAAGCAGGAATGGTCTGCCATCCGTATCCAGTCTGCATTTCGAGGCTTCTTGGTAATTTCTAACCTTATGCATAACCATATGATGCTTCTGTTTTGAAAATTGTTGGATCTAATCAGACTGTGATCGACACGTCTAGAAGGAAGAATTGCTTGTTCCTGAACGAATGAGGGATCATGTGCTTTACCGCCTAGTGGCGCTCTTAGGCCTTGCGAGTTGAGGACATCGTTGTTGCGGTAGACCATAAACTTTTTTTAAAAACGTTGCTTATGTTGCAGGCAAGAAGGGCTTTGAGGGCTCTGAGGGCATTGGTGAGGCTGCAAGCTATATTTCGCGGCCGGTTAGTGAGAAAACAAGCTGCTGTTACTTTAAGGTGCATGCAGGCTCTTGTGCGAGTTCAAGAACGCGTGAAGGCGAAGAATGTTAGGAATTCTCCGGAAAAGAAAGCTAAGCAGAAACTATCAAATGGGCAACACAATCAAGCTGATCCTGCTAAACAAGCTGAGGTATCTTAATATGTTATAGAACTTTCTAAGATGTTGATGCTGAATTAAATTGACAACAACATGTTGACATTGTAGCAAAATTTTCCTTGTTATTGTCAGAAAGGGTGGTGTGACATACCAGGAACTGTGGAAGATGTTAAAGCGAAACTAAAAATGAGGCAAGAAGGAGCAATTAAGAGAGATAGAACAATTTCATACTCCAATTCCACGCAGGTAAACTTTGAGACTAATCTATTAATGATGAGCCTTTTGACATGTTTAGATATTCTTGAGTAGAATTGATTTTACCTAAAGAGTTGATTTTAGCCTCAAACTTATTGTTAGAAAACCAACTTTTAACATTAATCTCTTTACATTCAATTTACTTTTAGTAGTAACAATTTTATAAAATCAATTCATTCAAAACAACCTCAAGAGATTAATGATTTGGATAGAAGTATGGTGTTTAGTAGAATATTATGGCGAAAGTTGATCCATGTAGCCGACTGACTCCATATAGTGAGATAAGGCTTAGTTGTTGTTGTTATTCATTCAAAAACAACCAAATAGTGAATTGTTTACCAAAATATATGTGCTTAATAAACTTTTCTTGTTTTTCAGCAATCAACAGTGAGTTCTAGTCCAAACTCAAGAGCTTCTAAGCCATTGACTCGTCACAAGCACCACAATTTTGACAGAAAGATCTTGTTAGAACGCTGGATTGCAGATAAGCCATGGGAGAGCATGTTGGTGGGAGATATTAATTTGGACTCACCTAACATGACTCCATTGTCCAAAAAGACTGAGAATGTTGAACTCTCTTTCAACACATATCAACAAAATGGCTTAGCAAAAGCAAGAAGGAACGTTAATGGTGTGAAAACTAGGAGTTCATCTAAATCTCTTACAACCAGCCAATCAACTCCGTCGTCTTCGGCTAAAAGTTCCGATTGCATGTATGATGATAGCCCTTTATCAACTTCATCCACATCTGAATCACCAGGCAAGGAGAAAGATATAAAGGAAAGGAAAATCGGGAAACCGAGCTACACGAATTTGACAGCGTCAACCAAAGCTAAACTGAAACCGAGTAGACACTCGTCTCCGAATTTGAAGAGACTCTTTATGGATGATGATTATCTGTCTCATAGCACGAGGACAAACTTTCTAAATGCAGATACTAGAAGCATTTCTGGTTCATATTCTTCAGCTAGTATATGGAAAGATCTTTATGGAACGCCTTCAAGGACAAGCTATCAAAAACAATTTACATTGGGAGATAATTAGTGACAACCATAATCAATGAATCCAACATCTTGTTGCCAATTATTAATTTTATGTAGTGAGAAGAATGTGTGTCGAAGTTCATAGGTAATAGTTAATTGATAATGTAGATAACAAAAGTGATTTGGGATTTAACCCTAATACTCTATGCAACAATGCACATGATGCAGTTGCGGCAGAGCTGTTAGATTTAGGTCAAGTGTTGGATCTAACAACTCTATTGCGACTGAACTATATGCAACAAACCTGTCCACGGTTCACTTGTTATTCTTTTGGGCATGTTTGTGATCATTCTTTTGGCTATAATTATAATTAGTAGTAATGTGTTTTATTATAAAAATTAGTGAGTATGAAATGTGAGTTATATGATTATACATATTCCTTAAAAATTAGTAGTAATGTGTTCTTTTTGAATTTGTCCAAGAGTTTGTTTTTATTAACTTGAGAGAGTTTTGGTGATTATCCGATTTTGTTCGTTTTAACTTGTGAATATATAGTAATGATAAGAGTTTTAAATTGTTACATTCCAAGGTATATCGCTTCCTAGACTATAACATGATTTTGCAACTTAGGCTTTTTACAAAATCCATGCCATTCATTCTGATCTAACCTGATCAGACTTAGACCGTCACGACTGGCTCCGAGCTGAAGTTTTGAACGAGGTGGGGGGGGGGGGGGGGGGGGGGGTACCTGCAAGACACTCTGATGCTGAAGTGAGTAAGAGCACAAGCAGGCAATAGTAAGAGTATGGGTAGAATGATGAATACCCGACCCTCTGGAAACAGAGGGTATTTATAGCCCCCAGCGCTGGGCCAAGGTTCCTTCATTGGGCCGGGCAGGTTTGGCCCAATGGAGGAACTGCCAGGTTCTACGTGCGTAGTGGGGACCTGCACGTGGTCCCCTCCCTGGATGTTCTGCGTGAAGTGCGGACGGACAGAGACGCGGTCTTTTCGGAGTCCCGTTGGGAGTGCAGTGGACTGAGTCTGCCCTAGGAGGGGTGCTCGAGGTGAAGTCGAGCTGGGTAGTAGGAGGTCGAGCAAGTAGCCCCAGGGAGTACGTCGGGCACGACTGTGATCCTTTGGTCGGCGTGACCCCCAGCAAGTCCGTTTGGATTGGGCCTTATCAATGCTATTGAGCCAGCGGGGCCCAGTCCAGAACAGAAGCCCCCCAAGTCGTGGTTCCTTGGGTTAGGAGCCATGGCTTGATCTTAGGTTGCTTCCGTTTCGAGGTCCCGTGCCCAGGCTAGAGACGCAGCTCCCCGTGGGGGTATTCGAGGGTTTCCCCGTATCGTGCTCGGGGACAGTCCCCGTGAGGAATGCTCGGGGATTCCTCGACAGCATGCGCCCGCCGAGCACGCGAGGTATCTTTTGGGAACTGTGCCGCCACCCTATGAGGATAGGGTCATCATTTCCTAGGGGAGCTGCGCGTCGAGGAGGGGAATTCGTTGCTGCCCGAGGTGACGTTTGGTATTCCACGTCATCACTATAAATAGGATCCTTGGGCCCCAGAAAGTGTTCCTACTCTTCGCGTTTCTCCTCTTCGCTCTGTTTTTGCTGCTGTTGTTCTTCCCAGATTCTCATAGCATCGCCGCGATCTCCGTCACTGATTCCCTTCCTCCGTTGCCAAATCTACTCCTTGATTCCAAGTAAGTGACTTGTCTTCTCTGTTTTTCTGTTATGATGCATGATTTTCATCGTTTTAGACGTTTTTAGAGGTTGTGCGCGTGGGACTAGCCCGGTAAATTCATGTTTAGCTCGACAAATTCATGCTTGAGGTCGGCAAGCACATGCTCGTGGCCGGTAGATACATAGTTTAGGTTATAATCTGCGGCGCTGCCCGGGGTCTTCATGATCCAGGGCGCCTAATTCATGATCGTGCCCGGTAGACTCATGGCTCTGGCTTTAGGCTTTATGATGTTGCTCGCCATGTTCATACCCCGGGTCGACGTATTCATAAGTAACCACGTTGTCGGTCTATTTAGGCGGCTTGCAGAAGGGCCCGTCGAGGTATCTGGAAGTCGGGGAGGCGACTGCTATTTTTGTTTCAAACCAACTTTGTGGTCGTGCGTGGAGCGATGTGGTTTGTCACGCACTCCATCTTGTCCGTTACGACGAGCGTATGGTTTCGTGCCCAATTGACTGGTTTCCCGTGCTCTGTAGGTAACCATGGCGGACGAGTCGTGCTCTTCAGGACGCCCCGAAAGGGAGGAACAAAGTGCCGATGAGGCTGTGAGTTTGATCGACACCATAGAAGACCCTCTGCTGGACTGGGTGGGCGTCGAGCCTAGAGGAATCGCCTCGGTCTATAGTCGGCGCAGCCGAAGGCCATACGCTGTCCTTGAGGCGGGCCATGGCCATCCCGATTTTCAAAAGAGTTTCGTCGTTACTAGACCGACCTTCACTGCTCGGATTTGCTCGGTGTTCCCCGAGTACAGTTTCCCCATGTACGAAATTGCATTCAAAGACCTTGGGCTGCAGCTGCCCTTCAGCGACTTTCAGGCCGGGGTTTTCGCCCATTTGGGGCTGGCCCCCTCGCAGCTACACCCGAACTCGCTCGCCTTTATCCGGGCGTTTGAGCTGACCTGTCGTTTTCTGAGGATTGGGGCGACTATACCTCTCTTCTTCAGAATCTTCCATCTGCAGCGCCAGTCCCGGGGAGGAAAGCACAGCTGGGTCTCCCTGAAACAGTCGAAGAGACTTTTCAGGATGTACATGGACTCCGTGCGGGGTTTTAAAGACAAGTGGTATGTCGTGAGGCCGGTTATCACAGCCGCTTTAGAGTCCCTGTACGAGGAGGAAGCGGCGATAAGCGACGATGACGGGGAGGCACTTTTAGACAACGACGGGTATCCGGTGTTGGGATGCACGACCAAGTTCCCCGTGCATTGGATTTCTAGACATTATGAGCACGGGACTGGGTATTATCATACTTCTGCGGGCGACATGGGTTCCGAGGATGAGAAGGCTTACGACACCCTTTGTCGGTACGTTGATAGCTTCCACCCCGCCAGATGGGCCACGAGGGAGGGGGAAGATGTCCTGGACGAGGAGGGGTATCTGACATTCGAGGCCCGACCGATCGATACAAAGGCACTCGTAGAGTGCCAGTCATTCGGGCAGGCCGCTCGTCTGCTAGGTCGTTTATCGCTTGAATTTGCTTGCCATTTGTTTGCTTATTTGCTCGACACTAACCCGGTTTTTTATTTGTGCAGGTTCGATGGTCGGGCGACGGGAGAGACTCTTGAAGCTGTCTTGTGACCGGAGGCCGAGCAAGAGGGTGGTGAAGGCTCCTCAAGCAACGAGGATGGGCCCGCCGCATAGTCCGGGCGCTCCTCATGTGGTGAGGGTAGATTCGTCGCCTAGCTCGGGGGCTGCTTCGGAAGAGACCCCAGAGGTCCAGGAGGTCGAGCCACATGCCGACCTGATACCAAGAAAGAGGAACCGGGTGGAAAGTGGGCCGGCTGTCGGCGAGGATTCCAGCGCCGTAAGGTCATTCGGGTTACCCCCTTGCTTCAAAGAGGAGGGTTTCTTCGAGGGGTTCCCTTTGTCCGTGACCGTCGATGAGGCTGAGGCTATCAGGAGGATGAGCAAGGAGGACCGGAGGAGGCACCTGGCCGCCAATATGGCCGGGCTGGTGAAAATGGCTGAAATGGCCGTTGTGCTGTCTGAGGAAGGGGAGGATCCTGTCCGCATTGAGGAATTGGAACAGGAGAAAGCGGCCCTCACCTCGAGCTCGCGAAATTTAAGGACTGCCCTGGAGCGCTCCGAGGAGATGTTCCGCGAGCAAGCATCGCTGCTGGCTGCCGAGAGAGAGATGCTGACTCTGGAGAAGGAGAATTCGGGGAAGTTAGCCGAGGAGAGAGAGCTTCTCCGTGCGGACCGAGAGCGTCTGGAGACCGACATCGGGCGCCTAACCCAAGAGATCGAGGACCTGAAAGTCGCCATGCTTCCTGCCGAGGATGAGCCGGAGGATATAGCCGCTTTGAGGAGTCGATCGGAGCTGGTCGCCTGCATCCGACTCCTCGAAGCGGATTGTGTCGGCGCTATAGAGGAGGGGTTCGAGTCCGCGGTCAACCAGCTTTCCTTACTGAATCCCAGTTTGATCACTGAAGGGACGGGCTACATGTCTCAGATCGTGGATGGCACGATCGTGCCCCCGCCCGACTCTCCCGCTGTCGGTGATGATGGCTCCGGGGATGCTGAATTGTAAGATGATGATGGGCCTGCGTGCCTTGCTGATATTTGTTTTGGGCCTGCGTGCCCGTTCGTATTTTTTGGGCCTGCGTGCCCGTTGGTTGTACTTCCTGAACATCACCGGCCTTCTTGGTCGATTTATATTTACTTGCTTTGTTGCCTACGGGCATTTTTGAATGAATGCTTTGTTTCAATTTTTGTTTGTTTGCCCGTGCTTGCGTTTTATGTTTTTGCACAAAAACTGGCCTAAGTTATGGGCCCGAGGAGTGCCCGTAAGTGGCTGTGACTTAGCTGGCGAATATGCCCGTCTTTTGTTTGTATATGTGCCCGGCCTCTTCTCGATGGCCAGAGTCACCTAAGTGGTGCACTCGAGGGGAGAGACTCCTTTTTGACCCTTTTAGATGGCCCGGCATTCTTGAAGATTTGTCGGGCAGCTGGAGTAGAATCACTCAGTCGGGCGCACGACCCGGTAGGGACTATTTGCCCTTGGCGTGAACTGCCCATCGCGAGCTGGGTGTTCTGCCTTACAGGTACTACGATGGTGGAGCTCGGTGTAGGTGTCCACGTCGGGCACTTTCGTGTTGTCTCGTTTGTTGGACGGTGTCGTGCGGTTTAGACGTAGGTCGGGCCTGTACCTCAGCCTCTCTACAGAGTCAGACGTTTTTTCCTCGTTGACCGAGCGCGGGTGCCGACGGTCGAGGGTCCTAGGTGTCATTGGTAGTTTTTAACTATAGTACTGCTTTAGCTTAGCAGCGTTCCAGGGTCGTGGTAATGGCTCTCCGTCTAATTGCTCGAGATAGTACGCCTCGG